AAGTAGATGCGCGAGTGACTGGAAGAGTGACTAGAAGCAGGACCTTTCTCACCTGGTCATGTCGATGCGGATGGCAGCACCGCCTTCCTTGCTTGGATCTGAGTTTGCCATTTCTTGAATTTTAGTGTAACTACCAGACCTGAACTAGTTTGAGTTTTTGTTGTTGACCCAGACTTGATTGTTTGGGGCTTGTTAGTGTTTGATATGCCAAGATGGTGCGGTGCACAAATGCTGATTTGCAATGTCCTCTTCGACGAGCTACACCGGCCGTCACAACCTCAACGCCCGAAATGTAGGCAGATCTAGGCCAGGATGCTCATGGCACAACGAGAACACACCCTGGAAAGTTGTTTTCCGCCTTGCAAGTGAAACATGGCTGTTAAATTTCGAGAGCTCGAGCCACAGGTGAGGCATAGCCATATAGCCCTTGCCTTGCCTGCCAATCACAACTATCTAAGAGACTAATTACCAAGAAAGTCTACAGGAAACCCTGGCTAAATGCTGGGTTAGCTAAGTTTCTGTAGAAATTCCTGCTGGTTTCTGTGCAAGGCCAGTTTGGCCTGAGGACGCAGGCGTCTAACCGAGAGCCACATCCAATATCCACGGCTGGCCGGGCGGAACGACAAGTTGGGATCGTTGCAACCCATTTTCCAGCGCCAACTGCAACTGGACTGATTTTGCCACTGGACAACCAACAAACACGTACATACACATATGTATATATATATATATGTATAGGTACATACGTATTTGTACATATATAAATCTAGGTGTATATATACATACACATGTATTTTACTCTTTCACTTGGTTTCTTCCTTCAAAGTTACCCCACAAACTGGAGGCAAATTCTTCGGGGCAAAGAATCATGTTTTCACATGGGGCACTATGGCAGCTGCCAGCGAAGACCAGCTAGGACTGGAAGAATCCTGGGTCTGTGAACTCAACCTGCTCGGAGCGTTCAGTCACCAAAGGCGACCCTTCATATTCATGTTGGAACTTGTTTGCGTTTGGAAGGGCCTGCTGCCACGTCCGCATTGGACCAGCAAGCTAGGAGATGCTTTTTCGCGCGAGAGGTCGTATGCCAATGACGCCATCGTATGTGTCATGACATGTCATGACTGTGCAGGCCTGCCAATCTTCCCCAAGACTGCAGAAAACAAGAAGGAAACACTTTTTTTCCAGATAAGTTGGGTTTACTTCGTTCGTTTCTAGTCCTTGTTATGGGGCCGCTTCTGATGATTCATGTAGACTTGCTTTTCCTGTTGAGATTCAGTTCTGTACGGTCGCCCGCTGTTGTTTGGCCACAGCCTTCTTGAAATGTTCCTCCGTTGCAATTGGCAGAGCCACAAGCTGGTTTGTGTTTTCATGTCCACAGCTACCTGAGACTGATTGAACAGGACTGGAGCCAGCTTTGCCATGTTGAAATGGAAGGCAGCTGGTTTTCAATTGATCTAGTTCCTAATTTGAGTGTTGGCCTTTGGAAAATCTGGCAGAGCCTGCGGAAATAAAATCGTAGGCGGCTCTGGTTTCAAGGTAGCTCAGGTTTGCTGCCGAGGAGAACAGCCTTCGGCTTAGGCCTAGATTGGCGATGCAACAAGAAGGCGCGTGCCGCTCCGGCCTGCCCGCTTGGCAGATTGCAAGTCAACTTGTTCCTGACTCGCATGGCTACACCTCCACGACGGGTTAGGTTAAGCTTGTGACCTCGCCTTTTTCACAAAAGCCGGCCTGCTCCAAATGGTTGCTTTACGTGTTCAAGCGACCCGGCATACGACTTCTGAAAGGGTGCTAAGGAGACAGGCTACGGACTTCGATGGGGGAGGGGTTGGCAGCTTTCATGGTTGACATTCGCTTGTACTTGGTCCCTGGGACCCCTGAGGGTCTCACAGGATGATCAAGTTAAACAACGGTTGACCCACTAATCAGAAGAGGGTTTTCTCCAAGCACACGTCAAGTCAGCCAGATTTGGGGCCGCTCTCAGGATGCTCTCCTAAGGCTTCGGCCATGGTCCAACAGGCCAGCACTCAGCATGCACATGAGCGACGAGCAATATTGGCAGCAATCTGGTTTGGATGTATCATGTCCTACTATTGTCAGCCGCAGAAAACCAGCAACCGCATGTCCTACTAGCCTACTATTGTCAGCCGCTCGAGAACACCAACAACCGACTAGGAGTGTTGGTGTGACGTTGGCTTACGGTGTTGGCCCATGCCCATGTTGAAACCAGGCCCCTTAAGAGCCCTCAAAATGGCTGTACCAGTTTACCTCGATGAACACCATCCTCTAGGGGAGCTTTTGAGGTATGTTGCTTTCATCGGGTGCGCTCGTTTGCTCCACTTCGGCTAGGCGCGGCAAAGGATCGCTCAGCTGGAGATCGCCTTCGCTGGGGAGATGGTCTCCAAGGCGAAGCGAAGTCAGCGGCTCCTGTTGTGGGGTGGACGAAATCCGCTCCACAAGGATGAAACCACATTGGGATTGGGATAAATCACATGCGGGATGCGATTGGGATAAATCACCTAGAGTATGGAAATAAAATATATTTTGAAATGTTCCATCCGCATGAGCCTTTGGACATGATGTTTCCTGGCGACTTGATGTCAAACAGAGATTAGCGTCTACACTGCGGCCACCCCTCCCCTGAAACTATGACGCGTTTTGTAGCGCCACTGAATCTTGGCCCGGAAACGCAGACCCAAAAAGCCCACGCCGTGGACAGGATTCTCAAATAAGACACCTCGTCAAATCTACGCGCTCGATTTGTGTTGGCATGTTTCAGGGCGGCACAAACACTTTGTGAGCGTGTTTGTTACTAAAAATCGGTGCTGAGTTGCACATGGGCGATGACGGTATTGTAGAGATTGCTGGGCCAGCGTCACACGTCATGTAGTTGCACAAGCGGTATCATGATTTCTGGCAAACATTTGGGTGGCTTCCGAGCATAAAGCGCAATGGACACCAGCAACAGGGCGGCTCTAATGTTGAGTAGGCCATAGCCTTAACATTCAAAGAGCACATTAAGGATGCATGGCAGGCTTCAATCCAGATGGTTTCAAGCTGAGCTTGCGCGCCGTCAAGCACTTCTTGCTGTTGCCAGTTTCTTTCGGCTAGTGCTATTTTATGAATGCAGCACACAATATTGCTAAACCACTTGTTGTTTCTTTCGCTGCTTCGGTTTCCCTGATTGTCATTGCTTCATTAGGGATGTCACGTGCCACGGATGGCAGCAACGCGTCAAGGTCACAGGGCGCATGTCGGCACGGGCGCTCGGATTGCCAAGTGGCCACTTGGAATCCAGGAGCGTAACGCAAGCCAAGCCTTGAACATCTGAGATTGCAGCAGCGCACGTGTCATATTCAGGGATTTCATGCAACATGTACATGGGTTGTTTCAGTCTCGTATGGCAGATGATGTCGATTCCGCGGCGGTTTTTGCAAGCACAAGCTACATTGCTGCAAGGTGTGTTAAAGTGTCAAGGTTTTTGCTGGTTGGCAAGTTTACTCTAGGGGGACATGTCATTTAAGCCAGCTGGTGTGTAGCTTTCTTTCATGGCACTCTGGTGGGCCCTTGGCTGGAGTTGCGCTCGAGTGCATTGCCAGAAGCTTGGCTCAGGCCGAAGGTGGCAGGCTTTTTGCGGACATGTTGTTTTTCAGAAGCACACCTGGGCGCGTCTTAAAAGCAGCAAACCACCGAACAGCCCCTCCTTGTGAGTTTCTTTTCTGCAACCCCACCCTCGGAAAAAGACACAATATATATATATATATATTATATATATATATATGTATATATGCCCAGCTTGAGTCGTTTGGTAGGGCTGAGGGCTTTTACTTGGATGTTCAAGCATGACGATGCTTGCTAGGTCGCAGGCTTTAGGAACCACAGAGGGACCGACATTGGCTTGTAGGATCCCTGGTGCAGCTCATACAGTCAGCTAAGCATCCATTTTAGTGCATGGCACAGACACCGGATGTGCAACCAGAGCTGGCCACTTTCACAGCCTTTCACTTGCCACCGGGTCATCCTTCTGGCGCTTTTGGCTCCTACGGACTCCTACCCTCTTTCCAGTTGAAAGTTAGAGGCTTTCAAAGGAAACTCACTTGCCCAAAGCCGACCTTTTGACCTTTTGAGTTTCCCCTGTTGGTCCATTTTGAGTTATGGCCCCAAAAGGTTCATCTTTTATTTCTGGGGTCCTTTGGGCAAGTGACGAAAGGAGTCCTCATCAAATTCCAGAGGGAGGCTTCGTACGGCGTACGCGCACACACACTGAGGTCTCACCAAGGCTGCGCCGCTCGGGGCCCCGAGTTGTGGGCCTCGAGAAACACTGTCCCTCCCCAGTCCAGTGCTTCCAGTTGCTCCTTACGGCGGAAACCATCATGTAAAACGCGAAGGTGACAGCTATTGCAGAAATGTTGACCCCGGATGAATCAACCCCTATGATTATTGTATGGGGGTGTCCCTGGGTTTAGTGGGGAATCCTCACTGTTGGAGGGGGGGACCCCTATTATTAAAACCGAAAGGGTTCTCCCCGCCAACACCTGGTCTCTTATTAAACAGAGGTGGGGTCACAAGGCTCCTTAACAGATACTTTTCGCCCATTTGAAACATGGCTTTTTCCACCAACATAAGGGGAAACCACCATTTACAAGGCAATGTTCAGGTGTATAATGTAAGGATCCCTGGGTCAGCATTCGTACTTCTTTGCGTCCCGGCGACCAAGAACCTTGGTGCCCCAGGGCCTTCAGGGGCCAAACGAGCGATGGCACAAAAAAGCTCCAGCTCGCACCTGAGCATGGGAGGCGCGCCCACTGCCAAGCACAGGCAAAGGACCCTTGGAGGTCTGAAATGTGCGCTGGCCCGAGGCAAGGGCATGGAAAACTGGCGCTCCTGCGGCCGCTGGGCTCCAGTCCCTTATTTGCGAGGTGCTTTGCTCAGACGCGAATCATCACTCCGAAAGTCCGAAAGGCCTTGGACAAGTTCAAGCTCTGTCTGGTTTAACCTTGGTTCAACGGATTCCATCCTTCTCAGCCAAAGCTAGCGAGTGCCGACGTTGGAACTTCGGCAGCCATGGCGCCGAAGTTTGGGCCGCTCGTTCGCAGGAACGGTCTAGGGATGGCTTGATGTCATGGGCCTGGTGTGGTGCTGGAAGCCAAGCCGCACCTTCTCAGTGGATTGCCTTTCAGGCTTACAAGCTCATGCAGGACGTTGGTTGCCTTCGTTGGCCCGCTCAGTTTGACTCTGTGTAGTATCGTAATTCAACCAGATAAGTTGACCAATGTTAACGTAGATTTCGGGCAGGGACAAGTTCTCGTTCTTCCTGCGTGGGGAGGACTAGCGAAATGAACTTGGGGTACTTATCTTCCTCTAAAGCTGGGGGGGAAGGCGGGGCGCCCTTCACTTTCCACCAAAAGGCCAACCCTGCGTCTGGGTCAAAACGTGTCCGACCCCCCTTTGTTGGGCGAAACGGGAAGCCTGCAGGAAGCCCGATTGGGTTCGCAAGGGATCCGTCAGAAGCCGACGAAGCCCTAAGTCACTTCCTCAGATCTTGCCGACATGTTGCTCGCAGAAAGAATAATGAAGCAAAAGGAATGCGGCACACCATGGAGACAGTGAGCATACTAAAGACATCAATTCTACGGTCATTGCGCCAAGTACCTTGCAAGCATCCAAGCCAAACCAAAGACAAGCACGCAAGCATGCTGTCACTAGCCTGTCGAAGTGGAAATTGGTATCACATCAACAGGAGAGAGAAGTGCTACATTGTTCGAAGTTTGCGCATTTGTTGATTATTTGTTTAGCCGGCAGATTGAACTAAATGCTGAAAATGCTCACGTAAGCATCGCGATTGACTCTGGAACCTTCAGAGGGGATCTGGGTGGCAATGACTCCCCGTTGCACGTGCCCTGTTTTCCGTGTTGCGTGTTCGAGTGTTTCTCAAAATGATGGACCATTAGAAGAAAAAAAAATATGGCCGACTGGCCCAACAGCCCAGAAGCCGGAGGCCCCCCAATCGCTGCTTTTTATGTTGGTTTGCCTCTCTGAAGGCATGCGCAGCCTATCATACCCACGCAATGGTTGAACGCATCCGCGAAAAGAAGTCGCTAGGTCCTATGACCAAAGGTTGAAACTTCCTGCAAACAAAGCTTGCTGGTGCTCAGCAGCGAATGAGGGAATGAGCCTTGTAAACCATCCCTGTTCCTTCAAGGGAGTTTTTGGGTTCAGTCCCAGCAGCATGGGCCTTCCAATGGCCAAGGAAGGCGAGCCCAGTGCGGAAGGGCAACACAGCTCTCAGGGCAGCAGGCGGGGATGGGGTTCCGCTTCCGGACGTGTGGCTGGTAGCCCGTCAGGTAACCCATCCCCCCCGTGAGCCCTTAGCAGGGTTACTCACCAACTGGCGACCCCCAAACAATCAAAGTACGCGAGAAGGGCGGGGGGGGGGGGGGGCCTTGCAAGGAATTGAAGCTGCCGGTAGCTGAAAGTGTCGTATTCAACAACAGCCATGGGTGAGTGGTCGGGAAGCCCTTTTGCTGAAACCTCGCGGCAAGATTTGGAGGCGTCAAGGACCTGAATACGCCTGAACTGCCCTGCAGGCCTTGCGCTGTCTGACAAAACGGATGTAGTCTACACAACTCCTTCAGGGATCAGAGATGACATGCACTCGGAGTTTTGCGCAGCTTTATCCTTCTGGCCATGTTCGAGGCAGCCTGTTACTTGGTAGGGACCAAGCCTTGGACGGCCAGAAAAAAGAGAACTGATCTTCTCAAGGGGTTGTGGGAGCGTCCATGTTGGGTGCGGTCTGTCATGGCCAACTTACAAAGTACCCTGCTTCGCGTTGGATGGAAGATGTTCAGTTCAAGGGCACGGGTAGTTCAAGGACGCAGGGACTTGGCTCAGGTTGCCTGCTTTTGCAATGGGCCATGGGATGCGGGTGGGATGGTTGCAGTGAAGGCCATCGTTTTCACGTGTCAGGCAATGTCTCTTTGTCACCTGCCGCTCGGAATGGCATGTGGGGAGGAGAAGGCAGAGGGCGAAACAAGTGTCAGAACCTCACTCCCGCTTGAGTGAATCATGAAGCCTGACTACCCTGGTGATGGCGTTGGTTGTAGTTTCAATTGTGCGCGTGCTTGAACGGGGCTTCGCATTGTTTTTTTGGGGGGGCAACGGTGTGCCATTTCTAGCACGTCCAGTACAAAGCCCTTTGGGGTTCAGGGCCAGGATCAGGGTAGTGGGACGAAAATGCCCCAATTCACGGGCCAGCGTGGGAAAGGAGTTTGGCCAGTGATCTTCACAGAGGGCTGCAGCAGCAGTTTTGGAAGCTTCAGACTCTTGTTGTCCGGCGCGCATTGGCAAGGTGCGCCAACGAAGGGCGCGAGCGCTCTACAAAACGCTCATGTTCATAAGGCCAGTTCAAGGTGGCAGATAATTTCCGAGCGGCCTGCTGTGGAGCCGCTTCCAAGTTATTTATTGAGACTGGCGCAATTTCCTCGCTCCAGTCACAACCTGCAGCATTGCTCTTCACGGGCCCCCGAGAACACACTTTGAATGATCGTTTGCAATTTATGAGTCACACATCTCAAAAGGACTCGCTTGTTTCTACATAGACTGACAAACTCAATCAACCAGCATTTTGGAAGGACTAGGTGATTTTTGGATGCATCCTTGTTAAACCGCAGGGCTTGTTGATTTTGAAAAGGGGAACCCCTCGGTTCAAGGTCGACCCGGAGTCTCCATGACCCTGTAAAAATGGGTTACTGACCCCATTCTGGGTGATGACCCCACCTTTTGAGGGTCGCTGATGACTCCCCCGGCACCTTGGGCAGCCCAAAGCCCGAGCCCTGTGCTGAGGACCGGCGCGCCAGGAGCGAGTCGAAGCCCAAGAGCCCATTGAGCTGGAGCCTCAGGGAAGCCCTGCCAACAAGCCTTTTTGGCTTGAGGGTCAACTTTTTTTAAGGTTGTTTCCCCTTTTTGAGGTTGGTTCCCGTTGGTTTCCCCTTTTTGAGGTTGGTTCCCGTTGGTTTCCCCTTTTTGAGGTTGGTTCCCCCTTTTCAGGTTGGTTCCCCCTTTTTGAGGTTGGTTCCCGTTGGTTTCCCCTTTTTGAGGTTGGTTCCCCCTTTTCAGGTTGGTTCCCCTTTTTGTAGAAGGTGGAGACGCTCACTCAATTCAAACCTACCTCTAATTAATGTACCTCTGCCCTGGTGTGGGTCTTTTTTTGGGCCTACCGGCTTTCCCAGACGGGTAGGGTTGAACTGTTTCGCCCATGAGTTGAGGGAGGCCTTCCCGTGACATGTTAGAGGTAGGCCTGTAATTAGGCCTGCCTGTTTGGTGTGGAGGTAGGTCTGAATTAGCCTTGCCGCCTGCAGCCTTTTGCCGTCTCAAGCAACCGCTTCTCTTCTGTCTTTGTCGCAATCATGGCTTTCTCCCTCGTTGATCGCGATCGCCTGTTGGTGAAGCTGATCGAACAGTCCGGGATACTCGTGGATGAGTACACCCTGGAGCTGGCGAAAGATCCCACGGAGGATCTGGTCACCTGGCTCGAAGGCCAAGCGGGGGAGTTTGCGTGGGTGGGGGCAGGGGCAGAAGGAGGCGAAGAGGAGGTGGCAGAGCAGGACCCCATCGTGGATCCAGTGGCAAAGCCCATCGATAAGCCCAACCCCAGAAAGGAGGGCCCCACGCCAGACGAGCTCTTTGCTCGCGCGGGGCTCTATGTGAAAAAGGTGCCCGGGGACGGCAACTGCATGTGGCACGGGTTGCGTGTGTCAGCCGCGGACAAGGGCTGGGACCTGCCCGGGCACAAGGGTTTGAGAGAGGCGGTCACCTGGATTCAAATGTTTCTGAGCCTTACTCTTGAGAGATCGGAGGTAGGTCTGCTTTGAAGCCTCATTCTCGTTTGTATGTTGCAATAGGTGTAGGTCCAAAAACACGCCTTATCTCTGAGGCTGCCAGCCACATGGAGTCCAACCCCCAAATCTTCGAGGAATTTGTGGAGCTGACTGGCATGTCCTTGAAGGAGTACCTTGCCCGCCAGCGGCGCTCCGGCACTTATTCGGACCACTTTGGTCTGCAGGGCTTCTGCGACTTGTCTGGCTTCGGTGTGCGTGTCCACTCCGTCGAGATGGCAGCACACCGCACCTTGACTTTGCGCCCGGCGTTGCCAGGGTCTGATGTGTTAGAGTTCCTTGACCTCTATCACCAGCCAGGCCGTGGGGACCACTGTGAGGAGACGCACCATGATGCCCTCCTTCACGGCAAAAAAAACGGGGCGCGGAGGAAGGCCTAGAAGCAATCAGGGCGAAGGAAGGCTCACCTGCAAAAAAGCCGAAGCTGGCCAAGCCCGCAAAAGGGGAGGACGTGGGGTATGACCTCAGCAGAGTGAGGCCCAAGCGGAAGGTGCCCAAATCCAAGGTCGCAGTGGATGAGACCTACGTGGAGGCTGGCTCCAAGGAGGATTTCATCACACGCTGCACGAACTCTAGGGTCTCTGGGGGGAAGCGCTCAACAGTCTGTGGAGAAAGAACTGCAGAGATGCACTGGAGACAGATCCGGATGTATTTGGGGTGGATCCAGGCACCCCAAGGGGCGCACATCCGAGACCACCTCAACATCAAAGATCTGACAAAGGCCTTGAAGCACATGGAGACACAACCCACCATCCGCAAGACTCCCTTCAAACCGGGCTCTGTGCAGCTCCTTTCTCGAAGTTGGAGCGTTGCGATCCAAGTCTTCTTGGTTGATCGGCCGCTTCAGGACAGGTTTGGGTCAACGTTGAATTTTGAACCTTCCCGTGCATGGCACAAGGTAGGCCCAGATTCCATATTGCTCAAACCTTCCTCTTTTGGCCGCCCCTGCAGGCCAAGGAAAAGAAGGAGCAGCGGCGACGCAAGATGAATGATCTTCTGAAGTGGCTCCGTTCCACTGCCAAGTCTGTGGCGGAGAGACTTGCGCAGCAAGGCTCGTGCGCTGAAAGGATAAGGACTGAAAGGAACCTACCCCTTGATTGGTTAGGGGACGGCCTTAAAATCCACCTACCTTATAAGCTTTTGGGGGATTGGTTTCAAAGCAGACCTATCTTTGATTCCGAAAAAAAACGCTTGGAATTAGACCTACCCCTGACAGGTGAAGACAACTCGCCAACCGAGATGGCGAACATGCCGGCTCTCTCTTTAGAGGGCGTTTTCCAAATGGCTTATATTGTACCTGAGAGGCTTCTAGCACTCGTCCGTCCAGCATTTGACCTCGTCCTGCGAAGGATTCGAAGTCTAAAACGCTGCGTGCAGGCGTGTGGCTGCAAAATAGAGACCCCTAGATATGCTTGCGATTTGGCTCCAGGTTGCATTTCAAGCGAGCCAACCTTTGCAGGGCTGTACTTGGCCGATCTGAAAAGCAAAATAAGTGGTCCAAAGAAAAAAGGTGTGCCCCGTAAAAAAAGGGGAAAAGGGGTTTCCTTGGCGAAAGGTTGAATGTCGTTGCGAAATGCAACCTGGAGCCAAATTGCAGCGCATATTCTAGTGGTCTTCCCCCAATTTTGCAGCCACACGCCTGCACGCAGCGTTTTAGACTTCGAATCCCTCGCAGGACGAGGTCAAATGCTGGACGGACGAGTGCTAGAAGCCTCTCAGGTAGAATATAAGCCATTTGGAAAACGCCCTCTACAGAGAGAGGTTCGCCTGAGAACTGCTGAAAAGTCTTCTAAAGAGAGGGATACAGGGAATGCAGGGATTCCCTGCAGAAACCCTGCATTGAAATTCCCCAAGGATTTCTTGCTATACGCTTAATTTCAACACAATTGCCAGCAAAGTGGTGCGCAGGTCGGCCACGGGGGTGTCGTGCTGGCCTTGGCCAGGGAATTTGAAGTGTGTTACTTTTTGACACACTGCTGAACCCCCAGGATTCCTTGCTATACGCTTAATTTCTTCAACACAAGTGCCAACACAATTGCCACTCGTGTTCACATTTCTGCCGCGCCAAGCCGCGAAACCTCCACTTCTTCAACATGTCGGAGTACATGTCGGATGAACATGTTCTTGGCACTCCGGGTGCGCCACCCTGCCGCGCCACCTGCCCGGCAAAGAAGCCTCCCCGGCCGCGCCACCTGCCCGGCATTGAAGCCGCGCCAAGCCGCCGAACCCCCACTCTCCCCCGGGTCCTTGCTATATGTGCTATATGTGCTATATCTTACACGCCAAGCCGCTGAACCTCCACTCTCCCCCGGGTCCTTGCTATATGTGCTATATGTGCTATATGGGTCTCACAAGGCAAGCCGCTGAACCTCCACTCTCCCCCAGCTCCATACTATATGTGCTATATGTGCTATATACTCTAGTAACGCGCGAAATCTGTACTAAATATATGCGATATAGGGTGCCAAATAGCAACATATAGCACATATAGCAAGCCGGGGGGGAGTGATGTTCAGTGGCTTGCCTTTGTGAGATTAAAGCACATATAGCACAGATAGTCAAAGGACCCGCGGAGAGTGGAATGTACAGCTGGTTGCCGCGCCTGTGGCGAAGCTCCCTGCCCCGCGCCTGCGTAGACTCATCGTCAACGCGCCGCATGTTTGCATGGTTTTTGCATGTTTGCATGGTTTTTGCATGTTTGCATGACATGACATGGTTTTTTGCATGGTTTTTGCATGATTTTGACATGATTTTGACATGGTTTTGACATGGTTTTTGCATGATTTTGACATGATTTTGCACGTTTTTTTTTTCGCACGGTTTTTTGCATGTCATGTGGCTCAACCCCGTGCCCCCTCCCCCTGTTTTTTTTTCCTGTCAGGCCGTCCGTTAGGTTCATCCTGGAGCTGAACTTCAGCGAGGCAGGGCAGTGCCGAGCGGGCACTTAACTAGCAGTGCCGAGCGGGCACTAGTAACTAGATGTGCCGAGCGGGCACGTGCCGAGCAGGCACAGGCAGTGCCGAGCGGGCACGTGCCGAGCTGGCACCCCAGTGCCGAGCGGGCACTAGTAGGAAAGTCACCCCGGTGCCGAGCTGGCACCGAGGAGGGGGTGCAGTGCCGAGCGGGCACTAGTAACTAAATGTGCCGAGCAGGCACTAGATGTGCGAGCGGGCAACGTGCCGATCTAGGCACCGTAGTAGCGCCAGCAGAGGCGTCCACTGTGGAGGCGCAGGAACGTGAAGGAGCTCACCGTTTGAGCTCCTTCAGCAAAGTTCACCAAGACCTCTACTACGGGTCCTTAGTAACTGGCTTGCAGATGTTAGTACTTGTGCTCGCCCAACGCGTGGGCCCAAGTACTGCTCGCCCAAAACCCCTTAGTACTGGCTCGCCCAACCCTTAGTACTGGCTACGCCCCACCCTTAGTACTGCCTCGCCCACCCCTTAGTACTGGCTCGCCCAAAAACCCCTTAGTACTAGGCACGCCCAATGTCCGTGGTTCGCCCAAGAACTGGCTCGCCCCCCAACCACCTTAGTACAGGCTTCGCCCAACCTCGATTGATTGGCTTCGCCAACGTCTTCGAACCTAGCGCGCCAACATCCCTTCCGCGCCTGCCCGGCATAGCCCTGCCGAGCCCAAGAATTCTTCCCAGCAAAAAAATGTCGAGGTTGTCTAAGCCGACTGCGAAAAATTTTTCCAGTGGTCCTGTGGGGGGACAACTGTCCAAAGTTTCGGCGAACCTGCCCGGCATAGCCCAGCCTGCCCGGCATAGCCCGGGCCGCGCCAGCATAGAAGCCTCCAGCCTGCCTGCACCAGGGAATTTGAATTGAATGATATTATCCTTCAATTCCTGGTGGTAATCCGCGTGATTAGGGGGGTGGTATGTCTGGCATACCACCTTTTCAGAGAGGTCTTGGTGAACTTTGCTGAAGGAGCTCAAACGGTGAGCTCCTTCAAATTCGCAGGTCAAGTGAAAGCTAAAACCTGTCACTT